ATAAGCATACCTTCTTTAAGGCTTAGTGCTATAACGACTTTCTGTAAACAGTCAGCTGCACGTTTTGTATCATGTATAGTTACCTCTTTTCTGCTGGCTCGACAGATAATACGCGTAGATATTTTGCGAGTTGCGTAATATTTGAGAACAACGATTGGAGTAAAATGTCCGCTTGTATTACCTGTCAAGCCATGGAATAAGGGATGTCATTTGCGACTGCATCGGCTTTATTTGCAGGTTATCATTTTCTTTTATTTTTAATGTTTTTGGTTTAAAAGTTAGTCACGACAATTCATCTCGTGTTCGAACACATTATTTTGTTTGGAGAACACTCAAGAAGCTAGTTGCTCTAGCTCTGCTGTCCCTCAAGCAGCTCTTGTGCTTCTTCCCGCGTGTATCGTAATTCGATAACGCACGCTAAAGTATGACAATTCTTATTGCCAGGTTGTATCAGGACCTATGTTAGTATGTAGGTTTTAATTAGAGTTTTTTTGAAATGTCTCACGAGTATACTCAGTTCAGTACTCAGTTTTAGTGGTTTGGTGCAAAACATTATTTACCTTTCTTTGTAGCAAAGACTTTTTGAGAATTACCGACGGGATGGGCAAAAGACAACGTTACTGTGGTAACAAGACCGGTCAAAATCTTCGCGTGACTGGAGACCAAGTGGAAGTAATATTTCATTCAGACGGAGAGATTGAGCGAAGAGGATATCTACTAAATTTCACTCTGGTTTCGTTGCCCTCGGTTTCAAGCGGTAAGTGGGACCATAAGGAAGCTGATAAAACTTGAAGAGTACACCAAGTTTATCTCCCACTTTGATAAATTCTAACATTTCATTTAAAGTTGACAGTTACTTGTGATAATACATTGTTAGTGGCTAGTCTTACGCAGCTCGTTTCGTCCCGGCCAAGGGACTCATCAGAGACCTTTCTGCTTGGCAAACTCGTTGGGCATTGTGCCCAAAGTCCCGTTCGCTAACAAAATGATGACAGCAATCTCGCCTTTTATTGAATAAGGATTCCCGACCGCATTTCATTTTCACGAGAAAAACTGCAACACGAGTTTTCTGCAAAACGAAGATCAACAGTGTGGTAAGAGACGATGTCTCTTGAGCGTTTTAATTTTCAATACACCGAAACAGAGTTTTGTCATCGATTGCTATAATAAGCGTAAACATTGTCATGGACATTTGGCATCCTTAGCCACAAGTTCGCGGATACCCTTGAACCCTATTAAGAACGGACTTTTGGGCTTTTTAAGGTCTTCTAGTTACTGGAAACCAAGTGAAAATGTTATTTAAATCAGACGACTAGGTTGACCAAAGAGGATCTCGGTTAGTCTTCACCCGCCCTTGGTTTCACACGGTACTCGGGTGGGACCATAAACAAGTTCACCAAGTTTATCGGTAAAAATAATTTATCAGATATTTCTCCAAAGACACAAGTAACAGTGAAACCAAATTTAGCACACAGTTAGGTTTTAACGTCCTTAGCATTGTCACGTGACGTTTGATGCGACGTTTAGCGGAAAATAACAAATATTTGAAGAATTAGTGCCGGTTTTTTAGCAAGATCATTCAACAAACACGAGTTTTAGATGCTGTTCAATTATTTCCATCCTCTCACATTTGGAATGACCGTCCACGTTTTTGCGGAAAAATGTTATAGGGTCAAAGATCATTTTTTTAAGAAAATTCGACTTTTGATCATTTCTGTTTTTTAAAAACGAAATCAAGGAAGATCACACACTTTTTCATTTAGTAAAAAAGAAAATTCAATTTGACAAATTGGAGTTATGACTTCATCCAATTTTGGCAGCCTTCGGAATGATGATCATCCAATTTTTTCCAATGTAGTCCTCAAACATTAATTCAACTTCAAGCCTCCTTAAGATATAAATTTGTTATCCTTTTTCAGTGCCTACGGAAAGGAATTCTGGTCAACCAACACAGGATACCGCGATCTTCAATGAAAGGATGAGTTACATCCTATCTGGTATCGCCTTCATTCTGTTGTTGGTGCTATGTTTTATTCTAGGTTTCTGGTGCTACAGACGGTCTCATCACAAGCAAATCAAAAGGTTATTCACTGTTGTTGTTAGTAATTACGATGAAACATAGTAAATAAATTGGTTATTGCAAAGCTGGGACAATTAACATGAGATATTCTGAATGTTTTACCATTTTACAGCTAAAAGCTGTATGTATAAGTTAATTACAGCAGGTTCCATTCTCAGCAGGCACACTCTTTTGACACGCAATGGAGACCTTGCCTCTTTGTTGCTTAAATTTATTCACGTAAATAGCAAAGAAAACCTTACTATTACAAATTGACCCTACATATAACATACCCGTACTACAGGACGAACATAGTTTAACCTTGAAATGTGATGTTCAGACAAGAAATCGGATGTGAAATGATTTGGTAAAATGATGGGAGGCGCAGTGATCCACTGGTTAGTTAGGGAGCAGTGGGAAAAATAGAGAGAGAAAAAATAAGAGAGGAGTGTGGTACGGGAAAGCCAGAGAACAATCTT